AAGTGCAAGGTTTTAAATAGGGTTATCTCTCAGTGGCTGTGTGGAGGTACTGAAGAGGAGAAAAGGCAAAAAATGCAAGGATTGTTTGGGAGGCTGAGCAGAACGTGAGTTCAAGGCCCAGCAATATAACATTTGCAGACCCTTTGCACGTAGTCCATGCCAAGAGTATAATAAAGCTGGGCTGCACTTTGGCCTTAATTTTTTTTTTCATGCTTTTCTTAGGCATGAAATGTGATAATTTTGGAGTTCTAATGTGACTAATTCTTACTGCTCTTAAAATAGCAGCTCAGTTACAGTCAGTATGCAGCAGTGTATAGGAGTAAATGTTCCTGGGAAAAAAATTGCTAATTATATGAAGACAAGGGTCCATTATATTACATTGCTTTCCCATCTTTGTAATGCTTTGCCATGTTTTGCATGTCACTAATGCCAATTCTTCTCTGGTAAGCCTGCAGTTATTTGCATCACCATGCCTTGGAGGGGGTTTATGTGACAGTGACTGCTGTGGTGTAGTGCAGGAGCACAAGGAGTCCATGAAGAACCTGTGCCCTGGAATGTGAGCAGGAGATGCAGGAAACCTGTGCTCATAATGCAGTGCCCCTTCTCTCTTCATGTTGCCCTCTATTCCTGTAACTGCATTTGATTTCTGCAAGGCTTTTCCTGACCCCATGCAGCAGCACAGTCCCAAATTAATAAGGGTCTGTGTTGACAGCTGCTTCATAACCTTCTGGCCTGTTTCAGGGATTTTTTCCCCTTGTGCACAGAATGTTGGATGCAGTACCCCAGTATTTCTTCTGGTGGTTGCTTTCCTGGGCAGGCTCGGGTAATCTCTGGTTTTTTTCCTTCCTTTTGCAAATTAATTGCTGAAAGAACAGTTTTTTGTTCACTGAGTGGCTACTGAAGGATTGAAAAGGAAATGTCTCCTGTTGTGTTCTACCATTCAGGAGAGCTGTGTCTAGCTCTCTTCTTGAATATGACTTAAAAATGGCATTGAAATTGTGTTTCAAGGTGTGCTCGTTGTGTTCCAGTCATCATGACAGCATATATTAATTATTTGCTCTGGTTTTCTTTGCCACACACTGGCTGGGATTTTGTTCTCTGCGCTTTGTTATTGCGGGAAGGTTGAAGTTTCACCATCATGGTGCTTCCACAAATTGCTTTTGAGAATTTGCACACCATCTGTGTGCAATAATAAAGCTTTTAGCAGCTCCAGATTGCCATGCTGGTGGTGGGGAGTGTGGATGAAAGCCAGCCCAGTGAATTAAGGTCATGTCCCTACTGGGGACAGAAAGCAAGCTCTAGGTAAAGCGATCTAGACAATCCCTGGGAAAGGCATCTGGTTCTGGTAGCACTTTGGCAATCACAGTTAGGGCTGTTAATCTTCAGGCTTCCAGGCACTGAAAGGTAGCAGAAGACACATGGAGACTCACTCCAGGTGTTAACAGACACCTGCAGGAACAATACTGCATGTTCTGGACAGGCATAGGTGGATGGAAAGTGTTGTTGAGTAGAAAACACGAAAAGCGAACCAGACAGGCTAAAAAAAAAACAAATAATCATGATACAAAGAGAAGGAGACAACAGCCAAAACAGACAAATTTTAGAAAGGATTAATACAGCTATTGAATCTGTCAGCGGAGAAGTTCTTCATAATATCATCATTAAAAACCTGACATTTACAATATTGAGGAGAAAATAAAAAGCTTTTGGATATAGGTCTGTGTGGGAGGAAGTAATGTTGAAAGGAAAAAGCCATGAACTGTTGTACTAGATAAATACACTATATTAAGAAAATTACAACGTGAGAGGGACATCTTGTGGCACAAATAAAATAAAAAGTAATAGTCCAGTGTCAGGAGGAGTATCCTGGAATGTTACTCTGGGGTCACCATTTCTGGGAGAAATCCCAGGCCTGGTAGATTAATCTGTTCCAGTCTTTCTTATAGCAGGATTCCTGCTACCCACTTTCTCATCTTCCCACCTTTTTGTCTCCAGGAGATGAGGATTATAGAACACAGACGTTCTACCAAATATACTTGTCTGTCTTGCTGCAAATGATGCTAGTTTTTAATGAAGAAATAGATTAAAATGTCACTACCGTTACTTGACTGAATGTGTTGTCATCGGTAGCATAAAATGTGACAGAACCTTAGCTGTGGGTGGCTAACACTTATTTTCTATTTGTATCACAATCATATTTCCATATGTTCCTATAAATCAAAAAGAATACATTGAATTTTCAGGAGGGCAGAGGGCCATGACTGTATACAATCAACTGAAATGGAACCTACCATGCATCTGTGCGTCGCAGTGTATGATTGTCAGTGTGCCTGAACCTTGAGATTCCTTGTTTGATTAGTTTTGATCACATGGTGATAAAAGTTTAATTATCTTTCACAAGCAGCAGTTTTCCCAGGAGTTGTCATTGTAACTTTGAATAATTTCTGGAGTACTTTTCACTGCCTTAGATGAGGTGGTGCTGTGTGGTGTAGAGTGGGAGAAGTCTGTACGCCACAACAGTATTTTCAGTCTCACAGACCTCAGCCACCTCAGTCACAGCTTTTGGTGCCTTTAGGAGAGGTTCTCATCGGTTGTGCACCCAACCAGAGAGCTGGGGAGAGGCACTGTACCTCACTTACCTTCCAGGTGCAGTCTGCTTCACCTTCTGGGCTGGCTGCAGGTGCAGGGATGGGAGGAGGTGGAACTATTGCTGCTTTGGGTGTTTTAAGCAAGCAGGAGTGAGCTGGCAAGAGCACTGAGTGGAGTCATTGCTCTCAGCTTCGGAGAAACAATAGAATGTCAGTTAAAGGAAAAAACAGACGTGGCTCTTCTACAGAAATACCTCGGCTCTAAGGGCGTTAAGCTTTTCATAAAAACCTGAACACTGGCGAGTTTTTCATTTCATGGTGCTTTTTCTGTTTGAAAATTGCAGCAACCAGATGTCATTTTGGTTGGGCTCAGTATTTCCGTTGTTTTTATGTATCTGAATAGGAAGTTCAGTGTAACATACTTTTTCATGGGGTTGTTTATAAGGTGTCTATACGTGCCCAAGGATCCAGAAATACTATTTGAATCAATCGGTGTGTAAATCATTCTCTGCTTTGGAAAGATAGGAGATCATTTCTCCAGCAGTAATTCAATCATAGCTTGTTTTTTGAAAATCCACAATACCCTGGCCTAAATTTATTTCAAAGTTTATGTTTCCTAGCTACGGTTCTAGTACTTCAGTTGCCATGAGTAGAAACACCATAAATTATATAAAAAAAAAAAAGAAAAAAAAAAAGTGGACAATAGTAAAGAGATCTTTTTTGGGTTAAAGATAGGGCAGAACCCCCAAGTTTTTGTTTTCAGGCATTTGTACAAGACTAACTAAAAATCTGCCAAGTCATGCTGTTGTCCAGCACAGATTTTTGGCCACCACAAGTGTATCATGAAATGTTTCTTGTACTTACTGGTCAGCTGAAAACCTGAGAGTTGTGGCTCAATTGCTTTGACATCTATTCCTTTGGCCACAATTAATTTCCCATTGGGCATTCCACAGAATGACCAATGTTTAACTTAGGTTAACCAAAACCTTGGGTTTGTTGGTATTGGTTGAATTCAGAGTGTGGACTTAAGCTTGTAAGGATGCCAGTTGCACACTTTGATGTCTGACTGAATGATTTTGATTGTTGAAGAACTTCACTCCGGTTTTTTACTGGTTTGATCCATTCAAATACAAATTCCTGTAGCAAGGGCTTGCCCAAAGTGGTGGCAGTGGAGCAGCCTGGTGTCAGGGTCAGAGAATGAGTTCCCACATACCTGGGAACATATTTTCCAGCCTGTCAGTTGATGCTTGTGACAAACAATAAACCAGAGCTGTACCTTGTTATGCCTCTCTGCCTTCAAAGAGGTTTTTCTGGTTAAATAGTGAGATGGTATTAACTCAGGGTGTGAATACAAGTTTAAGTGCCGTGCTGTGAATCTCTCACGTCTTTGCTGGCTGGAATGTCGCTGGGTTTTCTGCTTTGGTGTCCGATGTCAGGGACGGCGATGCCTTTGCGTTCTGTGTGTGTCTCTGTATGGAGGGAGGTGCCTGCCTACCTGGAGCAGCATCTGGATTAATGGTTGGACATCGTTCTCAGCTTTGCCCTTGGTTTCAGGTGTCTCCTGTGAGCAACACACAGTACACCTAGGAAAGGCACGTTTATTCCAGAATAGGTATTTCGCCAAAAGGGCTGCGATGGAAAAGCCTTTAAGTGACGACGAACCGCGTGAATTCAGGGCGGTGATGGACGGCTGGCGCTCGCCGTGCAGGGTGCGGGAGGAGGAGCGGCGGCGCTGGGTGTGTGTCCCTGCGGCACCGGCGGCGCGGGGACGCCAGGGCCGGGACCCGCGTGCGCTGCCGGGGGCGGCGGGGTCGCGCCGGGTGAGGCTCCCACCGCCACCGGCCGCCCGTGGATCCGCCTCGCCGAGCGCCCCCGGAGTGCCAAGCCGCCTTGCCGAGGCTGCGGCCGGCGCTGCCCGGCTCCCTGCGCGCCGGGGCGGGCGGATGGGGGCCGGGGCTGCGGCCCCGCTCCCCGCCGGGTCCCCGCCGCGCCGCGCCCTCCCCCGCGCTCCCGCCGCCTCCCTCCCCTTCCTCCCGCCTCCCCGCCCCCGGCTCCGCATCGCCGCGGCCGGAGCACACGCCGCCCGCCCGAGGATGCTCCGCGCTTTTGTTCCC